TCTTTTTTCCCTAGCCAACGGAGCAGTTCCCAATCTGAACATTCCACATGGCGCTGGAAACGAGCGTCGCAAGTCGCTCATTGAGGGCTTTGGCGGCGGCGGCAACTACTCGCTGGCGCGGAAGACCTCCAAGGCCCTGTCCTACCTGCTGCTGGCCCCGCCCATGAGCAGCCTGCCCTACCACACCTCTCTTCGGCGGGCGGCGATTGACCTGATTGGCCGTGGTTTCACCGTCTGGGAGCCCTACCTGGACGTCTCCAAGGTCCTCCTGGCGCTGTTGGAGTTTAGCTCAGCGGAGGGCGAGACGAATCTGGTGCCCAGCGGCAGCTTTGGCCTGCCGCTGACGCCGGTGGCCGACTCGAGTCGGACGGCGCGGGCGGCCATCAGGGCGATCTCCCACGCGCGGCCCTCGGTCTTTATCACCACGCTGGCGAGGGAGGTGACGAGGTAAGTTGGGGGAGAACTTCTTTTTTTGAGTATTAAACTCCTCTTTCCCCTCCCCTCTCCTCCCAGGTACAACACGATGCAGCAGCAGCAGCAGTCGCTCAACTTTATCCCCAACCAGACGGTGCTGTACCGGGCGCGGCCGGAGATTCTGAAGAACCTCCACCGGCTGATTGACGAGCACCAGGACGCCGTGTACGGCCTCATCATCGAGGCGATGGACATCATCCTCTACTGCCTGGACCACAATGCGCTGAAGGCGCGGGGGCTGGGGGAGATGTACCCGGCGATTACCTCCTTTCAGAATGTCACCTTCTGCAATTCAAGTAAGCGAGTGGCGGTGGGGGCGAGAAATGGCAATCTGGCCATCTACGAGCTGAAGACGGGCAAGAATCAGGTGAGAGCTGATTAATTTTGTAAATTTTTTCTCATTGTATTTTTCCCCCAGATCATCGCCGCCCACTCCGGCAAGCCGATCACCGCGTGCGCCTTTGCTCCGGACGGGAAGCACCTCGCCTCGTACTGCGCCGGCGAGAGCAAGGTCAGCTTCTGGCTGACCGCCGTCGGCCTCTTTGGCCTGGGCAAGTCGCAGACGCAGTGCGTCAAGTCGCACCCCAGTCCGCCCATGCCCGAGGCGGTGAGGGCGCTAGGGCCGCTGCGGAGTGCCAAGCTCGTGTGGGTCAGCTCGAAGCTGCTCATACTGCTCTTTGCCGATGGGAAGGAGCACCGCTTCAGTATTTGAGCAGATGAGGTCACCGGACTTGTTATCATTTGATAGTTGTGATCTCTTGATTGTTAGAGTGCATGTGTGTGCATGTGTGTGTGTGATTTCGTACAATTACCTTACCGTTTCCCGACTTAACTTAACTTAACTTCTTTTCCCTTCTTCTCCTCTTCTTGGTGCTGGTAGTAGTTTGTAGATTATTTTTCCTTTTCCCTGATGAACCCTCTTAATTCCACTCCTCCTCAGTCAAGTGCAGTGCAACCAACTCCTCCAGTGTGCAATGTCCTAGCCTATCTGTTATATACACCAGAGAGCAAAGAAATGTTGATTACGCTGATTGTGTTGTGTTAATTAACTGTTAAAATAATTAAGATCACGATTGGGAGTTATCACTCTCTCTCTCTCTCTCAAGAAGTGCAATAAAGTGGCACAAGTTGTTAGTTTTGCTTCTCGAGCGGCTTCTCCTGCTGCTGCTGCCTCTGTCGTTCCTTCTCCTGTTCCATCTCCGGCGGGTACTNCTCACTCTCTCTCTCTCTCTCTCAAGAAGTGCAATAAAGTGGCACAAGTTGTTAGTTTTGCTTCTCGAGTGGCTTCTCCTGCTGCTGCTGCCTCTGTCGTTCCTTCTCCTGTTCCATCTCCGGCGGGTACTTCCGGGGGCCGACTTCAGGACGGTGGTCGGCGCCGACCGCCTCGGCGACGCTGGCAAAGCCGTTGTAGTAGAGCATGAGGGCGAGCTCTTCCTTGACGTGTCGTACCACTGCTGGGCCCTGGAAATAAAAATTTTGATTTAGACTAATCCTTTCCTCCACTTCTTCTTCTTCTTCCACCCTAGGCTGATCAAGGATCACTTACCGCATAGGCCATGCTGGTGTACAGCTGTACGGCGCTCGCCCCGGCGGCGATCTTCTCGTAGGCGTCCATGCCCGACTCGATGCCGCCCACGCCGATGATGGGCACCTTGCCGCCGGTCAGCCGGTACAGGCGGCCGATGACCGAGGTGGAGAGCTCCCGAAGGGGCGGGCCGCTGAGGCCGCCCTCCTCTCGGATCACCTCCGGCGGGGAGCGAAGGGAGGCGGGGCGGCTGACCGTGGTATTGCCCACGATGACGCCGTCGATGGTGGCGAGGCGCCCGCCGGAAGAGCTGGGTCGGCTGAAGCGGAGCAGCACCTGGGCAATATCGGCCAGCTGCGCCTCGCTCAGGTCGGGGGCAATCTTCAGCAGAAGAGGCTTTTTTGGGCTGCTGCTGCTGTCCTTGTTGTTGTCCTTCTCGAGCAGCGTCTTCTCCGCGAGCAGCCGCTCCAGCAGCTCCGTCAGCTGCGCCCGCTCCTGAATCGCCCGCAGGTTGGGCGTGTTTGGGCTGCTGACGTTGACGACAAAGTAGCTGACGGTGGGCAGGGCGTGGAAGCGGCGCAGGCCGGCGATGTAATCCGCCGCCGGATCCGTTTGGTCGCGGT